ATTTCCTAATAATACTCCAGGAGTAACATCTTGACAAGGCCAATCTCCATTTAGCCGTTAGAGATCTTTTCCATTTGAATTACATGCTTCAACACAATCGACCTATACATATACATACATATATATAACATTTCATTCAGTCATTTTCTAACCTTCTAATTATCAACCATCATCGATCAATACATGAACTTTATATATATATATATATATAAATTAAAAGGATTATATATAATCTTACTTGTACTGGTGGTAAAAATTGGTGAGATCAACAACAAGATCTTTGATGACATACATATGTGGCAAAGGAGTGACATATGTGGCCTTACTGGTGTCTGTATCAATTGGCTTAAGGCATGCAACTGTGTTAGTCCCATCAATGTTCATGGCACAAGACCCACATATTCCTTCTCTGCATGATCTCCTATAGCTCAATGTTGAATCATCTTCTGACTTTATTTTCTGCAGTGCATCCAAAACCTATATATATATATATATACATATATATATACCACAACTAAGTTAATTAAATTGTAATAAAAGTAGAAATACTGTTTGTGGTTGATTATAAATCGATCTAATTGATCATACCATGGGGCCACAAGTGGTGAGATCAAGAAAGTAGGATTTGAGGAAGGGTTTTTGCGAAGGATGATCAGGGTTCCATCTGTAGATCTTGAATTCCTTTTTGAGAGCTTTGATGTTATCTTTTAGGGTTTCATGTGACTGTACGGCTTGTTGAGCATGATCTTGACCCACTGGGTGACCTTCCAGCACCCCAAACCTCTTCTGCTTTGGGTTCAACACGCCACCGGCGCCGGCCACCACCTTCTTGTATCCTTCAGTCAACCACCGCTTGCTGCTGCTCGTGAACCCCATCGCCGGCCCTCTAGCTCCTACACACAATACACATCATGTGTCGGGGTGTGTGCTTTGGAATCCATGTCTGAAGTGAATGGTGCATGCCAAGTCGGTTCAGTTGCTGTTGTATTGACACGTGGAGACATATGGTGACACGTGTGATATGAATATAACTTTTAAAATGGAAAGACTTGCTTACACAAATACTTAGATAAATAGCTATACGTTGTTGAATGTTTTCCTACCGAATAATTAAATGATCAGAATAATTAAAAAACTCTTATAATATAATAAAATATAATTATTTGATAATTATTTGTAATAAAATTAGGACGTTGAATAGTTAAGATAGAACAAGATACAAAATCATTTAGAGAGTTTTAGAATCATCAAGAGGTAAACTTTTTATTACCAAACAAAATTCACCTCTTAACGATTTAGATGTTTTTTAATGAAATTATTAAAAGGTAACAAACAACCCCTAAAATACTTACACAAAAGAGTTATATCAGTAACGTTAATTAAGAACATGTACAACTGTACAAGGGTTAAGAATGTTTAAGAGGTTGAACATCAAAAACATCTACAAACTCACGTAAAAAGATCATGTAAAGGCAAGTCAAAACACTGTAAAAGTATAATTTTTATAGACCAAGTATTATCGGAATCATTGAATCAATATCAATAAGCCTTGTTCTTTTAAATAAATCAGTACAAATTAATTGCTCCTATACTCTAGGTACATCAAACCCTTAAATCAAAAACCTTGAAATTAAAACCCTTAATATGATAGGGAATGTTATTTGCACCTTCTTTCATGTATTGATATTGATGTGTTTGAGGGAAAAATTTATGGATAATGGTGCATTTAGCAATACATGGAGGTGCATTTAACTCACCCCTAATATGATAGATAGTCCATGGGTGAGAGTGATTCAAAGTGTAAGTCCCTCTGTTGCTATACATCATCGTTAATCAGGGTTGGACCTTCTAAGAGAATCAGGGTGCACAGGTGCTTAATTGTCCTATCGTATCGGTTGTGACTGGGTATCAGTTTGATTTTGAAGAATATTTTTATATTTTATACATTACTTGAAGTCATTGGCTAAATTCTTGAGTACAACAAAATTTTAGTTTTTCACTAATATTACATTTAGGGGGTGTTTGTGATTTCTTATAATAACAACTTATTGGCTTATTCCGGTGTGACACCGATAATAAGCACTTTTGAGTGTTTGGATAAACAACTTATATCGGTGTCAAACCGGTAATAAAAAGTTTTTGAATAAGTTGAACTCTCCGGACTTATAATTAGTTGATAAGTGTTTTTGTAGAAAATCATAGGTTGTTTCAAATAAACAATCCCAAATTATTATTTTTTTATAATATTTTTCCTTCCAAATTACCCATTAATCTTACGGTTGGTTTTTTCTTGTTTTTATGATAACACATGTTTATTAAAAATAAATTAAAAATAAGTAAAATTAATCACATTTAATAATTAAACCTTTGTATGAATTTTTCTTTTTGACTTTTTTTATAATAATTGAAATTCGGTTATTATTTCTCCATATATGATGTCGTAAATATGTTTATGTAATAAATTGATAAAATTATATTGTTGTTGCATCTGCTACCCGAAATCAACCAGAAAATAGAAAGCCCTCCCATAAAGGTAGAATTCGGCAAAAAAAACACGTCAAGTATAATACGTAATCTTCGTTTTGCTCAAAAAGTCAAGGTCGGTTCCATTTATAAAAATGTATTGTATTAACTCGACGCTTTGAATTTTCCCTTGGTCAAACCGTGTTGATTCTCTTGGGATTAAACCGCAACTTTGAAGGTTTTCAATCGACCTTCATTAAAAGTACACACGCTTAGAATTTCGTGGGTTTGTCACTATCCTTAACGCCACATTCACCAAAATAGTCTTTCAAAAAAGTTAAATTACAAAAACAACCCCAAGTATATACATTTTAAAAAATAACCATGGATTCCTCATTTCTCCCGTATGGGCGCGTAAAATGACTGAAACAAGTACTCCTAAATATTTGTAGTCTGTTTCTGGATAATTGCAATGCCGTGAAAATTGTATTTGAAATTTCTATACTTGATTTTATTGTCATAAATACTTTATAATAATCCCACTGGTAGATATAATATAAAGAGGCCACAAAAACAACATATATAAAAATGTGTTTTGGTTTAATGCAACAAATTAGCTTATCATGATAAACGACGGTCAAATGTCGGTTAACGTCGGTGAAATAGGTAGAAATCATATCACAATAAAGGTGAAAATGATGGTTTGTGTAGAAGTAAAAAATGATGGATTGGTGATGGTGGTAAATAAAAATCGAGATTATATAGTAGAATGGTTTATACAAAGATAAAATATTGTATTGGGAAAGAAAATAATATATTGGAAATGAAAAAAGTGGGTAAAGTGGTATGGAGGCGGGAGCTTACACGTCGAGAGGCATGGTCCTCCCTTATCGGTCCATAATGATATGATTTAGTCACATCGAACACATGCACTTGTCACATCAACCTGAAAAAGCTTGTCTTTTTGGGGTTCGAGTGGGCCTTTACGCACCCATACGAGAGAAATAAGGAATCCGTGGTTATTTTTGAAAATGTATTAATTTGGGGTTATTTTTGTAATTTAATTTTTTTGAAAGGCTATTTTGGTGAAGAACCCCCTTTATTCTCTATGGTGAAGGATTAGGGGTGAGCAGCGGAACCGGGTACCCGCCTGTGGAACCGGAACCGCCTTGGAACCGCCGGTTCTGGAACCGGAACCGATATGAGTGGTTCCGGTTCCGGTTCCTAAAATAGGGAACCGATTGAGAACGGTTCCGGTTCCGGTTCTCAATTTTTCGGAACCGTTAACCGCCGGGTACCCGCC